CCCGTCTGTAGTCACACTCCGTCTGTAGTCACACTCCATCTGTAGTCACACTCCGTCTGTAGTCACACTCCGTCAGTAGTCACACTCCGTCAGTAGTCACACTCCGTCAGTAGTCACACTCCGTCTGTAGTCACACTCCGTCTGTAGTCACACTCCGTCGACTCCATCTGTAGTCACACTCCGTCTGTAGTCACACTCCGTCAGTAGTCACACACTCCGTCAGTAGTCACGCTTCTCCACTCCGTCAGTAGTCACACGATCCGTCTGTAGTCCCCTCCGTCTGTAGTCACACTCCGTCTGTAGTCACACTCCGTCTGTAGTCACACTCCGTCAGTAGCCACACTCCATCTGTAGTCACACTCCGTCTGTAGTCACACTCCGTCAGTAGCCACACTCCATCTGTAGTCACACTCCGTCTGTAGTCACACTCCGTCAGTATTCACACTCCGTCAGTAGTCACACTCACACTCCGTCAGTAGTCACACTCCGTGATCTGACAGGACGGAGACACGCAGCTCTGCTCACCTGCAGCTCCTGCCGCTGTGATGCGGCGGTGAACGGAGCAAATCACACACTTCAAGTCCGATCATCACCCTTAGCTATTTTAATTACCTAACCTATAATTAACTACCTAAACTAGTTATAAATATGTTTATTTTTACTGTCGGCCGGGTCACTCATTACTGGATCAGCTGCTGCATGAAACAGACACTGACGCTGTCCGAAGAGAGGGAGGAAAAAGAGAGGCTCCGTGTATTTTATTATTATAATATATAGATTCGTTATTCATTTGTTTTAAAGCTCAATAAATAACAAAGAAGACCTTTAACCGGCACTTTTATAATTTTGTCGGAAGATTTAAACTTTAATACACGTTGACTGGCGAAAAACTCTGCCCGGTTCCCTCGGCCCCCACCGCGGAGAATAAACAGAAGGGCAACCATGACAACCATGCTTCTTCGCTGCTTTTGTGGAGGAAGTTACAGCGCCACGTACAGGCTCCTGTATATGTACTGCAGCTTCTCCAGCGGTTGGAGCTAAACGGAGCGGTCTCGTGTGGGCAGACACTATCCAGATAACTATTGCGTGTGGACGGAAGCTTGTTTGCGATTGCGTTTGCGTTAATCCTATGCGTTTAGCCGTTTTCGTCCTTGTGTGGCCGGGGTCTAAGTATCTGAGTGTTTAAGTGTCCTAGTGTTAAAGTGTCTGAGTGTTAAAGTGTCTGAGTGTTTAAGTGTCCTAGTGTTTAAGTATCTGAGTGTTTAAGTGTCCTATTGTTAAAGTGTCTGAGTGTTAAAGTGTCCTAGTGCTGGAGTGTCCTAATGTTTAAGTGTCTGAGTGTTTAAGTTTCCTAGTATTTAAGTGTCTGAGTGTTTAAGTGTCCTAGTCTGAAAGTGTCTGAGTGTTTAAGTGTCTGATTGTTTCAGTGTCCTAGTGTTTAAGTGTCCCAGTGTTTAAGTGTCTGAGTGTTTAAGTATCCTAGTGTTAAAGTGTCTGAGTATTTAAGTGTCCTAGTGTTAATGTGTCTGATTGTTTAAGTGTCCTAGTGTTTAAGTGTCCTAGTGTTAGAGTGTCCTAATGTTTAAGTGTCTGAGTGTTTAAGTGTCCTAGTGTTTAAGTGTCTGAGTGTTTCAGTGTCCTAGTGTTTAAGTGTCCTAGTGTTAGAGTGTCCTAGTGTTAAAGTGTCTGCATGTTTAAGTGTCCTAGTGTTAGTGTCCTAGTCTTAAAGTGTCCTAATGTTAAAGTGTCCGATTGTTTAAGTGTCCGAGTGTTTAAGTGTCCTAGTGTCCTAGTGTTAGATTGTCCTAGTGTTTAAGTGTCCTAGTGTTAAAGTGTCTTAGTGTTAAAGTGTCTGAGTGTTTAAGTGTCCTAGTGTTTAAGTATCCTAGTGTTTAAGTGTCCTAGTGTTAAAGTGTCCTAGTGTTAAAGTGTCTGAGTGTTTAAGTGTCCTAGTGTTTAAGTGTCCTAGTGTTAGTGTCCTAGTGTTAAAGTATCAGTGTTAAAGTGTCTGAGTGTTTAAGTGTCCTAGTGTTTAAGTATCTGAGTGTTTAAGTGTCCTAGTGTTTAAGTATCTGAGTGTTTAAGTGTCCTAGTGTTTAAGTGTCTGAATGTTTAAGTGTCCTAGTGTTAGTGTCCTAGTCTTAAAGTGTCCTAATGTTAAAGTGTCCGATTGTTTAAGTGTCCGAGTGTTTAAGTGTCCTAGTGTCCTAGTGTTAGATTGTCCTAGTGTTTAAGTGTCCTAGTGTTAAAGTGTCTTAGTGTTAAAGTGTCTGAGTGTTTAAGTATCTGAGTGTTTAAGTGTCCTAGTGTTAAAGTGTCTGAGTGTTTAAGTGTCCTAGTGTTTAAGTGTCTGAATGTTTAAGTGTCCTAGTGTTAGTGTCCTAGTCTTAAAGTGTCCTAATGTTAAAGTGTCCGATTGTTTAAGTGTCCGAGTGTTTAAGTGTCCTAGTGTCCTAGTGTTAGATTGTCCTAGTGTTTAAGTGTCCTAGTGTTAAAGTGTCTTAGTGTTAAAGTGTCTGAGTGTTTAAGTATCCTAGTGTTTAAGTGTCCTAGTGTTAAAGTGTCCTAGTGTTTAAGTGTCCTAGTGTTTAAGTGTCCTAGTGTTAGTGTCCTAGTGTTAAAGTATCAGAGTGTTAAAGTGTCCTGGTGTTTAAGTGTCTGAGTGTTTAAGTGTCCTAGTGTTTAAGTATCTGAGTGTTTAAGTGTCCTAGTGTTTAAGTATCTGAGTGTTTAAGTGTCCTAGTGTTAAAGTGTCTGAGTGTTTAAGTGTCCTAGTGTTAAAGTGTCTGAGTGTTAAAGTGTCTGAGTGTTTAAGTGTCCTAGTGTTAAAGTGTCTGAGTGTTTAAGTGTCCTAGTGTTTAAGTGTCTGAGTGTTGAAGTGGCCGTCCGAGGCCGTGGCGTATTTCCATTACAGTTTAGGACCTGGGGTAGCAACGCAGTGTAGGCGGGGCGATCGGCTTCACATTTTGAGTTGTTCCGTCGAGCTCCCGCTGGATTTTATCATCCCCAATGAGATGAAGGAACGTCGTCACCTCCTCGGTCGACCACGGTGTGCTTTTCTTATTAGACGTAGCCATTTTTGTAGCTCCAAAATGCTGTGTATAAAAATGCTGCAAGCTTGCTTCTAAATATATATGCGACGCTAGGGATGAACTCGCGCGCGATCTTGTGACGATTCTCTCTGACCAATCAGCAGTCGAGAGTGTTGACGTCACTAGTTCAGCCCTGGCCCTGGTCTGAGGGAACCACGACTTTATGGGGCCGGAAAAAGAGGGAAAAAGTACCCGCTAGCCGGTACTAGGCTATATGGAAAGGCCACCGAAAACTGGCCTGGCCGCTTGAGGACGGTTAAGGACGCTTAAACGGTGCTACCCGCTGCAGTGGAAATGCGCCATAAGTGTCCTAGTGTTAAAGTGTCTGAGTATTTAAGTGTCCTAATGTTAAAGTGTCTGATTGTTTAAGTGTCCTAATGTTAAAGTGTCCTATTGTTAAAGTGTCTGAGTTTTAAAGTGTCCTAGTGTTAAAGTGTCTGAGTGTTTAAGTGTCCTAGTGTTAAAGTGTCTGATTGTTTAAGTGTCCTAATGTTAAAGTGTCTGATTGTTTAAGTGTCCTAATGTTAAAGTATCCTATTGTTAAAATGTCTGAGTTTTAAAGTTTCCCAGTGTTAAAGTGTCCTAGTGTTAAAGTGTCTGAGTGTTAAAGTGTCCTAGTGTTAAAGTGTCTGAGTGTTTAAGTGTCCTAGTGTTAAAGTGTCTGGGTGTTTAAGTATCCTATTGTGAAAGTGTCTGAGTTTTAAAGTTTCCCAGTGTTAAAGTGTCCTATTGTTAAAGTGTCTGAGTGTTAAAGTGTCCTAGTGTTAAAGTGTCTGAGTGTCCTAGTGTTAAAGTGTCTGAGTGTTTAAGTGTCCTAGTGTTAAAGTGTCTGGGTGTTTAAGTGTCCTAGTGTTAAAGGCGCATCAATGTTTTTCTCTTAATTCCGTAAGCCCAAGTTCCCGAGTTTCTTGTGGTTTAAAGTTTATTAATGAATAAACGATAATAAATATTGCATGTTGATAAACCTTTTTTAATGAAGAAACCAATTCATTGTTAAAAAAAAAATATATATATTTTCAAAATAAAACACCGAAATTAACTGGAAATAAACAAATAAACAATAGAAAAGACAATGTTTGTATTTCACCACTTAAATAATCAACAGTAAAATATTAACAGGTTATTAACTCACACTTTGACGAGTGTCTTTGGCTTTCTCCTTTTCCAATCCTCTTCAATAATAATACAAATAATAATAACAATAACATGCCGCTTGAATAATTTATTTTATATATGTCAACATCATCAGGGATTCTTGCACAGACTGAGCTATAACAATAGAAAGGTATGAACACACACAGGTATAAACATACAGGTATGAACACACAGGTATGAACGTCACACAGGTATGAACACACAGGTATGAACACACAGGTATGAACACACAGGTATGAACACACAGGTATGAGCACACAGGTATGAGCACACAGGTATGAACACACAGGTAGTAATCAGCGAACCGCTTCAACACGTGTATTTCGGTGTATTCACGGCATTCATATTGTTATTCTACAGTATTGTTGTTTTATAGTTATTTGTTAATGTAACCCAATTTGTGTTCTTTGAAATTGAAAAGGATATCGCATTGTGTTTGTTACTTTCGTTGCATTTGTAAATGTCTTAAGTGTAATTTGGCTTGGCTTTCTATTTATGGACATGCTTTTATTTTGAAGGAGAGGTAGCGCTGTTGACAGGAAGTTGTTGTTGCTATGGAAACAAAGTGAGAGAGATTAACGGAGAAAAGTAATATCTACATATAAAGACGGAGAAAGTAAACGATAACGTTGATGGTTAAGTGTTAGCACCCCGAAGAGGCTCAAGCTCTGACGTTGATATTGGAGATTTCAATAAATTCAATTTGAAAAAAAACTGGGAAAAAACAAACAAAACGAATATCCGAATAACGAAATTGAAACCCGAATAGTACTCCAACGAACGAATATTCGGGTACAGCCCTAGTATGAACACACACAGGTATAAACACACAGGTATAAACACACAGGTATAAATGCGGACAGGTGGAAATGCAGGAGTTGCTGCATAGTGTTCTCGTGTGATCCAATGTGGAAAAGAGTCTTTCCCGAAAATAAATCTGACCGAACAGGAAGTCTCTGAGTCCTACAGGAAGTCTCTGAGTCCAGCAGGAAGTCTCTGAGTCCTGCAGGAAGTCTCTGAGTCCTACAGGAAGTCTCTGAGTCCTACAGGAAGTCTCTGAGTCCTACAGGAAGTCTCTGAGTCCTACAGGAAGTCTCTGAGTCCAGCAGGAAGTCTCTGAGTCCTGCAGGAAGTCTCTGAGTCCTACAGGAAGTCTCTGAGTCCAGCAGGAAGTCTCTGAGTCCAACAGGAAGTCTCTGAGTCCAGCAGGAAGTCTCTGAGTCCTACAGGAAGTCTCTGAGTCCTGCAGGAAGTCTCTGAGTCCTACAGGAAGTCTCTGAGTCCTACAGGAAGTCTATGAGTCCAGCAGGAAGTCTCTGAGTCCAGCAGGAAGTCTCTGAGTCCAGCAGGAAGTCTTTGAGTCCTGCAGGAAGTCTCTGAGTCCTACAGGAAGTCTCTGAGTCCTGCAGGAAGTCTCTGAGTCCTGCAGGAAGTCTCTGAGTCCTACAGGAAGTCTCTGAGTCCTCAGGAAGTCTATGAGTCCTGCAGGAAGTCTCTGAGTCCTGCAGAAAGTCTCTGAGTCCTACAGGAAGTCTCTGAGTCCTACAGGAAGTCTCTGAGTCCTGCAGGAAGTCTCTGGTTTAAGAGCAGCCGCACTCGTCCACGATCATGTTCTGGATGTCCTTCTTGATGATCTTCTGCTCCTCGTTGTAGTACAGCATGGACATGGCTCTGAGCCGTGTGGGGACGCAGCAGGACCGGATGTTCTGGAAGGGCCCGTGGCCGCGCATGCGGTAGTGGTTGATGACGGTGGAGTGGAAGGACAGCGCCGAGCCGCTGAAGCTCGACATGTGGTTTGGACATTCCCCCTCGCAGTAGTTGGCGTGGTAACCGGACGGTGCGATGATCCAGTCGTTCCAGCTGATGTCTTTGAAGTTTACGTAGAACTGACGTTTGCAGCAGACGCGGATCTTCCCGTCACATTCCAGCCCGCGTCTGACCCGCCGCTGCGCAGCCTCCTCTACAGCTCGCAGCGCCACCATGAGGAAGGGTCGGTGGGACTGGTCCCGCCCTCCGGCCCGCTCGCTGGCCGTCAGCACCGCTGTGACTCCGGCCTCGCTGCAGAGCGGACAGACGACCCGCAGCCTCAGCGCTCCGCCGCCGCCCGACAGCAGAGTCTGGATGCTGCGAGACACGGCGAGCTTGTGCCAGCCGCTGCGACGGACATCCACCATCTTATCCGAAACACACTCCTCTTCCTCACCCTCCTGATGAAGCTGCAGCGACACTTTCCCTTTCCATCGGGTTCCCTTCGAAATCTTCAGGAAGATCCAGATGTTGGCCTGTTCCACCACCGCTGAGCCGCCCTCTGCTGAAAGGTTGAAGGTCACGGAGTTCAGAGAGCCTCCTGCAGGGGGAGCACAACAACAGCTTCAGATTATTAACCCACAATCACTGATGAACATGTTTCTCCTTCCTCTCACTTCCCCTCTCTGAGTCAGAGTAAACCCTGAGCAGAGTCTTACAGGTGCAGCCTGCAGGTCTCTGGCCGTTTCTCAATCTCGAGGATACTGGCTTCCAAGCCAATATTTCAAGGATGCTACGTCATCGAGTGCTGCCGAAGGACTGTTCCAATCTCCAGCATACTTGGAATTCCACCGAGGCCGCGTCCTTGGTTTGGGGGAAATTTCGAGGCTGCACATGGGTAGACTTCGCGTCCTTAAAATCCCCACAATGCTTTGCGCACGGACCAATTTCAAAAACCCTTGCGGAGAATGGCTGAACCGACGCAGCACACATTGAAATGTAAGTATATAGTGGCGTAGAACATGTGTTGGTAAATGTGTTACATTGTTATCACCGATAATGTGTTCCGTGAAAGTAAAGCAAGTTCATAATTAGATAGACATCGTGAGGTATTTATTTTCGGTACAGTTTATGTTGAAACCGTTAGAGAGAGTGGCACACTTGTTAGCCTGTTCCATTATTCTTCGTTTTCCGAAGCCGTGGCTTGGAAGCATACTTGCTTCGTTTCTGAAGGAAGTGACTTGGAAGTACGCGACTACCAAGCCAGTATCCTCGAGATTGAGAAACGGCCTCTGTCTCTGCTCCTTTATAAACTCCTTTTGGCGGCAGTGGCTCAGTCTGTAGGGACTTGGTCTTGGAACCGAAGGGTCGCCGGTTCACGTCCCGACCGAACCAAAACAAATATAGTAAGCTGGCAGCTGGAGAGGTGCCTCCTGGGCCACTGCCGAGGTGCCATTGATCAAGGCATCTAACCTTGAAACTGCTCCCTGGCACCGGGTACCTGGCAGCCTCTCTGCTCTGCCACCTCTCCTATCTGCATGTGGTTGTGTTTGTGCATGTATACCCTCTGTGTGTGTAATGTGTAAACACAACAGAGTGGAGAAAGAAATGTCCCTGTGAGGGATTCATAAAGTATGTCTTCTTCTTCTAAACTCAGACATCTCTGCAGATGTTATATACAAATCATAATTGCATTAATAATTGATCTGAGAGAAACTGACATCTTGACGATAATTAATGATGAAATAAAGAATTTGTGAACTTGTTGAATTTGTCTGGAGGAGGCGACCCCGCCCCCCTCTTTGTGTCTGAATGAATGGACAAAGACATGTCGTTAACAGAAACAGCATGAACAGAGCTGCCTCTAAATATACCCAATATGAGCAGAGACACTAAAAAAAGACCTGGTTTCAGGGAATGTTGTTAACAAGGACAGACACACACACACTCTTTGTTTCCTGAATAATTACTGAGGCCCAGTTTGTTTGAATGGGGAGATTATTTACGGCCCAAGACCACTCGGTATGCCCCCCCCCTCGTTACTGTCCCTTAATTTCGGCGAGTCTTTGAGAGAGGTTTTAATGAAATACTCTTCTCAGAGAGAAAACTATTTATAGCACGAACACATTCTGTACATTTATGTAAGCAAACAAGCCGGGGGCTGTGATTGGTCAGTAAATGTTCATAAAAGTAGACCCTAACATCATCACGTTTATTAAATAATTTTATTTTGAAAATCTCTTTCTGTGAGACCTGTTGTATGAATGAATGAAATCATGGAGGGTTGCAGATGAACTCAAAAGACTTTCTTCTGTCGGCTAATATTACTAAATCACCTCCACAGTCTGAGATGATGAACCCTAACACAGACTAGAATAAACAGAACCAGACTGAGTGAGGAAATCTGTAAACAAACTCTGACCTCTTTTTGTGAATGAGCTGATAATAGAGCGCACAGACAAAGGTCTCTAAAGCAGCTGATGGTCAGAGTCTGATTCAACGCAACCACTAACTCTGCAACCACTAACTCTGCAACCACTAACTCTGCAACCACTAAACTGTAGCTGTTTCCCCGACTCAGACTGCAAGGAATCTGGGTGTGACGCTAGATAACAACCTGTCCTTCACTGCAAACATCGCTGCTACAACCCGCTGCTGCAGATACACGCTTTACAACATCAGGAAGATGCGTCCCCAGCTGACACAGAAAGCGACTCAGGTTCTGGTCCAGGCTCTCGTCATCTCACGCCTAGACTACTGCAACTCCCTCCTGGCTGGTCTACCTGCATGTGCCATCCGACCTCTGCAGCTCATCCAGAATGCAGCGGCTCGTCTGGTCTTCAACCTTCCTAAATTTCCCCACACCACTCCGCTCCTCCGCTCCCTTCACTGGCTTCCGGTAACTGCTAGAATCCACTTCAAGACACTGGTACTTGCTACCATGCTGCGAATGGATCTGGCCCTTCGTACATCCAGGACATGGTTAAACCGTACACCCCAGCGCGTGCACTACGCTCTGCATCAGCCAAACGGCTCGCTGCACCCTCGCTGCGAGGGGGACCCAAGTTCCCATCAGCAGAAACACGTGGGTTTGCTATCCTGGCTCCAAGATGGTGGAATGAGCTCCCCATTGACATCAGGACAGCAGATAGCTTACACATCCCTTAACTCTGTACCTCTGCATCCCTTAACTCTGTACCTCTGCATCCCTTAACTCTGTACCTCTACATCCCTTAACTCTGTACCTCTGCATCCCTTAACTCTGTACCTCTGCATCCCTTAACTATGTACCCCTGCATCCCTTAACTCTGTACCTCTGCATCCCTTAACTCTGTACCTCTGCATCCCTTAACTCTGTACCTCTGCATCCCTTAACTCTGTACCTCTGCATCCCTTAACTCTGTACCTATGCATCCCTTAACTATGTACCCCTGCATCCCTTAACTCTGTACCCCTGCATCCCTTAACTCTGTACCTCTGCATCCCTTAACTCTGTACCCCTGCATCCCTTAACTCTGTACCCCTGCATCCCTTAACTCTGTACCCCTGCATCCCTTAACTCTGTACCTCTGCATCCCTTAACTCTGTACCTCTGCACCCCTTAACTCTGTACCTCTGCATCCCTTAACTCTGCACCCCTGCATCCCTTAACTCTGTAGCTTTGCATCCCTTAACTCTGTACCTCTGCATCCCTTAACTCTGTACCCCTGCATCCCTTAACTATGTACCCCTGCATCCCTTAACTCTGTACCTCTGCATCCCTTAACTCTGTACCTCTGCATCCCTTAACTCTGTACCTCTGCATCCCTTAACTCTGTACCTCTGCATCCCTTAACTCTGTAGCTTTGCATCCCTTAACTCTGTGGCCTCACCTGGCCCTGTGTTGGCCTCACCTCACCTGGCTCTGTGTTGGCCTCACCTGGCCCTGTGTTGGCCTCACCTGGCTCTGTGTTGGCCTCACCTGGCTCTGTGTTGGCCTCACCTGGCTCTGTGTTGGCCTCACCTGGCTCTGTGTTGGCCTCACCTGGCTCTGTGTTGGCCTCACCTGGCTCTGTGTTGGCCTCACCTGGCTCTGTGTTGGCCTCACCTGGCTCTGTGTTGGCCTCACCTGGCTCTGTGTTGGCCTCACCTGGCTCTGTGTTGGCCTCACCTGGCCCTGTGTTGGCCTCACCTGGCCCTGTGTTGGCCTCACCTGGCTCTGTGTTGGCCTCACCTGGCTCTGTGGTGGCCTCACCTGGCTCTGTGTTGGCCTCACCTGGGCCCTGTGTTGGCCTCACCTGGCTCTGTGTTGGCCTCACCTGGCTCTGTGTTGGCCTCACCTGGCTCTGTGTTGGCCTCACCTGGCTCTGTGTTGGCCTCACCTGGCTCTGTGTTGGCCTCACCTGGCTCTGTGTTGGCCTCACCTGGCTCTGTGTTGGCCTCACCTGGCCCTGTGTTGGCCTCACCTGGCCTGTGCTGTGTTGGCCTCACCTGGCTCTGTGTTGGCCTCACCTGGCTCTGTGTTGGCCTCACCTGGCTCTGGTTGGCCTCACCTGGCTCTGTGTTGGCCTCACCTGGCCTGTGTGGCCTCACCTGGCTCTGTGTTGGCCTCACCTGGCTCTGTGTTGGCCTCACTGGATCGTGTTGGCCTCACCTGGCCCTGTGTTGGCCTCACCTGGCTCTGTGTTGGCCTCACCTGGCCCTCGTGTTGGCCTCACCTGGCTCTGTGTTGCCTCACCTGGCTCTGTGTTGGCCTCACCTGGCTCTGTGTTGGCCTCACCTGGCCCTGTGTTGGCCTCACCTGGCTCTGTGTTGGCCTCACCTGGCTCTGTGTTGGCCTCACCTGGCTCTGTGTTGGCCTCACCTGGCTCTGTGTTGGCCTCACCTGGCTCTGTGTTGGCCTCACCTGGCTCTGTGTTGGCCTCACCTGGCTCTGTGTTGGCCTCACCTGGCTCTGTGTTGGCCTCACCTGGCCCTGTGTTTGCCTCACCTGGCTCTGTGTTGGCCTCACCTGGCTCTGTGTTGGCCTCACCTGGCTCTGTGTTGGCCTCACCTGGCCCTGTGTTGGCCTCACCTGGCTCTGTGTTGGCCTCACCTGGCTCTGCGAAGGCGATGATCTCAGAGGGGGGTTCAGAAGGTGTTTGGGCCCCGGGGACGTCCTCCTGGATCTCCACGCTGCCGTCCTCAGCCACTCGGCCGACCTGCAGCTTCCTGATGGCGTTGAGCAAGGCAGCACGAGGCACCGGCTGCGTGAGGTTGGGCCGAGTGCTCAGGTGCAGCATGTTGAGGATGTGAAGCTTCACTGCCTCCACTATCTCTTCCTGTCCGCCCGACGAAGACGAGTTCTTCTTCATCAGAGCGCAGGAAGGACAGACCGGCGCCACGTCCACCTCCGGACCCGACGACACCTCCGGACCTGGAGACACCGTCGGAGACGCGTCAGCGAGAAGCACGAAGGCCATGAAGAAGAAGACAGAAAACTGAGACGCCATGACGGGCTGCAACCCCGACAGATATCTGGAGCAGAGGAGACGATATCTGAGGAGACGATATCTGAGGAGACGATATCTGAGGAGACGATACCAGAGGAGACGATATCTGAGGAGACGATACCAGAGGAGACGATATCAGAGGAGACGATATCTGAGGAGACGATACCAGAGGAGACGATATCTGAGGAGACGATACCAGAGGAGACGATATCTGAGGAGACGATACCAGAGGAGACGATATCTGAGGAGACGATACCAGAGGAGACGATACCAGAGGAGACGATACCAGAGGAGACGATACCAGAGGAGACGATATCTGCAGTCAGAGGTGAATCTCTTACGGTAGCAGAAATACAGAATCAGAGTGAAATCAGAAATCCTCCCGGACTGTCAGCAAAGCTCTAAAGTTATTTGAATCTTGTCTGAGTTGCCCGGTCTTAATGTATCTGGTGCTGATGGTCCTGATGGTCTGTTGGCTCTGATGGTCCTGATTGTTCTGGTGGAGCTGAATGAACACCGAGTGCAGGGTCACTCTACTCTCCCTCTCGCTCTGTTTCTGTAATTATACCTCTCCGCTGATCCCTCCCTCCACACACAGAGGTATTCCCTGTGATTCTCACACACACACACACACACACACACACACACACACACACACACACACACACACACACACACACACACACACACACACACACACACACACACACACACACACACACACACACACACACACACACACACACTGTGAGTAAAGTCTCTCAGAATATCTCAGGACTGTTTGTGGTGTTTCCTCCTGAATGAACGTCACGACAAAAGAGGAGGAGGAAGGAGGGAAGAGGAGGACGAGAGAGTGTCCCTGATTCATTCATACCACACACACACACACACACACACACACACACACACACACACACACACACACACACACACACACACACACACACACACACACACACACACACACACACACACACACACACACACACACACACACACACCAGTGACTCAGCACAGCGTCATGATCGCCTCACGTGGAGGAGAAACTCTGTTGGTGTGAAATGTATTTACCCAATACTTTGTTGTTACGATCAGAATCCTGCACTCAGCAGATGGAGCGCGCACACACACACACACACACACACACACACACACACACACACACACACACACACACACACACACACACACACACACACACACACACACACACACACACACACACACACACACACACACACACACACACACACACACACACACACTCTCTGTGACATCAGCACGCCCTCTGCTGGTGGGAGGCAGGTGTTACAGCTTCCTCTTCACCTGAGCCTGTGATGAGTTTGATGATGACACTGCAGGAAGTGACTTAGAGACACAGTAGAGAAACTGGTAACAATGTGGAGTTGTTTAATATGTATTATTGTAGAGTTATTTAATATGTATTAATGTAAAGTTGATTAATATGTATTAATGTAAAGTTGATTAATATGTATTCCTGGTTGTCAATGGTCCAGATATAATCTTCATGTCGTTTTTGTTTTTATGATTTTTGCTGTTTGTTGTCGTTCAGCAGATTTTACATCACTGTTTACTGGAGGGGTTAATACACACACACACACACACACACACACACACACACACACACACACACACACACACACACACACACCACACACACACACACACACACACACACACACACACTCGCTCACACCTCCCCCTCCCGTCTCTCTCGGTAATCCGGTCTCTCTGCAGTCATCATGGCGGAAATCAAGACGGGGATCTTCGCGAAGAACGTGCAGAAACGGCTGAACCGCGCGCAGGAGAAGGTGAGGGGGACCGGGAGAAAGGGGGGAGAAACGGGGAAAAACGGGTGGAACGGGAGGACCGGGAGGAACCGGGGGTTTAGGGGGATGGAGAGACAGATGGATGCGCTGCGGGCCTCCTCTCTCTCTGCTCATATATGTTAGGGCTATAGGCTATTATATATATATTATATTATATTATATTATATATTTCATCGACATCTCTGCTGTTCATTAACACCGGATCTGTACCGAGAGCCTGACGTCACGATACGTTCATTTCACCTCCGTAAAAACCGTTAAATCATCATAAACTGACGGAGCTTTGTGATTGGCTGAACAGACCGACCTCTTCAGTAACACCTCGTGATGACGTCATGCGGATGAATGATCAATGTATATGAAGATATTCTGAGTTTATATTTAAATAAATGACGTGCTCCTGAGCCAAGGTGGGGGGGGGGGGGCGTGATGACGTCAGACACTTGAGAGCTGAGAGCGTCAGTGTGTTGTCATAATACTATATTATTATTACATTACATTATTACTAGGGCTGTCTATGGAAGCAAACAAGAGACAGAAGTATTTGAATTTTATTAGACACCAAATTTATAGCATTGAAAATATTTACTTTGAAAATCATGTATCTGAATTTTTTTGCTCCGAATTTATCTATGTGAAATAAAAATGTAACAATTCAAGTTAAAAAAATTTGAATAGTCAAATTCAGATCCCAAAAATTCAAGTGAAAACAATTCGAATGCACAATTTCGGTGTTAAAAAATGAGACGTCAAAAATGTCGGTGTTTAAAATTCGATGTCCAAAATTGCGATGCAACGTCATCCGGGCTACTCAGACAGGATAAGCAATCGAGCCCGAATACAATCAAACCGACTTCTGGCCTATCAGAGCCAAGCGGCAAACTCCGGGACAGAGTGCGGTGAAGCCCAATGCTGAAAACTGTAGGCGATGGATGCAGATGGGAGCAATTCCCGTAGACCAACTTAACATCAGACAATGAACATGTTTCTAGCCTGGATCCACAAACACACATTCTCTATATTTAGATTCCCCTTCATGACCAGTGTTGGGTGTAAGGCGTTACAAAGGTAACGGAGTTACAGTAATATATTACTTTTTGCTGTAACGAAGTAATGTAACGCATTACTAATGAAATGTGGGTAATATATTACCCACAATGCTCAGTAACGCAGGTACAACACATTCTAACCCGGAATTAAATGGTGTTTTGTTTTTTAAGAATGTACTAACATAGCGAGACATCCCGACACCAGAGACAACTTGTGGGGGTAGATTAGTAAACCTGGTGTTTACCCTTCAGGCTTCGCGTCGGGATCTTCGGGCAGTTGAATGTTATGCACCCTCTATTCAAAAAAGAGAACGGAGCGAAAAATACTAACAACAAATTGTGTCAGGTGCTCGTGACCTGCTCCGCTGCGCGTGCATCGTTTCAAAGTATTTCCACAGCAGTGACACACATCTGTGGAAGCACTTTGAAATGATGCTCCGCTGCGCGTGCATCGTTCCAAAGTGCTTCCACAGCAGTGACACACATCTGTGGATAATCCTTTATACGAACATGGTTAAAGCAGCCATCACTAAACGCCAGCAACACTGCCTCTACTGCAGACAGTAGCAACAGGTCAGATGGGGACATCACGTGACCCTCCGTTGTGGACACTAGCTTACTCCCGCCTGACTCGCCGCCCTCGCACCCGGAGCAGCAGTCTTCGTCGCCCGAAACTACGCCGCCCCTCTGCGGCCCGCAGGTGCCAGGATACAGAGCCTGCCCAGGTATATCTAAACAAGTGCCCGCCTGTACAGTGGGGTTAGGCGGTCATCTTGCAGCTTTGCAGTATACAAATAGACAAGGGCTAGAATATTCATGTGGAAATAGATTCATATTCTGCCTGTAGAAATGTTGGGTCAAACACAATGCACACAATAGCACAGATGCCTTCACCACGAATGGCTACAGAAAGATCTCATATCCCGAGCTTATCAACGAGCTAATGTTGCAGCTGAAATGTTCTCCAGGTCACAAAGCCAACCTCACATGATGATGATGTGATCCAGTTTTCAAGCACAGTAAATGTTCTCTTCCCAGAGTATATGATGGGACCAAAGTGATGATTAGTACATGGTTTTAATAATACTTTAGCTTTTCAATGTTTGCCATTTCAAACTATGAGCTGGTTCAAATCATATGTGCCTTGATTTACAAAATGTTCTCATTTCTTTTATCAGTAGCTTTGAAGCTGTTGTGCTTTTCTTTGCCACAGTCCACTTTGGACTATATGAGATATGTCAGGATTGGACTTTTAACTCACTTGAAATGTTCTCACTTGCTTGGTTTCAAAACATAACAAAGGCCATCATCTGTTCATTGGGACCATCAATGCTATTTTTCATTGCTGTTGCCACTATTGCTCATGTAAACCTACTGCTGCGCCCCCTGTAACCTCAGAGGCACCCTGAGTCATTTGTTCTGGAGCCGGGCCTGCACATGGCCATATACTAAACACACTACAGAGCCCATTCTGTGTCCTGTTAGTGTTTACTTCCTGTCTGTCTTCTTCTGGTGATTTATCTGACGTCCAGCGCTCCATCTTTTAACCTCTTTTCCTTTCTCTTTCTGGATCCTCCTTAGTGACCTTCATCATAGTCCTTGACAGCGGTCTGTACTACTGGATTAACAACGAGTCACATGTTAAGAATTTACTATCAGAATGGAGTATTCAACTAAGCCGTGTAATACAAGTTGTTAGTAGCCTTAATGGCCTACACAGTTGTTATGCCATACACAGGGCCGGCCCTAGACATTTTGGTGCCCTAGGCGAGATTATGATTTGGTGCCCCCCCCCCCGCCCCTCCAAGCAATACACAATAGAATATATAAAGAATAAATGACAAATCTCTACAAAAGACCAATACACTACAACAACTGAAACGTATTGACATGTTGGTAATATACATAAAGAAGGTTTCAAATGTATTCATTATTGTATGAACATGTTTTAATTGGGGGGTGGACATCACATCCTCTAGGGGGGTCCGGGGGTTTGCCCCCCCGGAAAGATTTGTTTTAACATTTGAAAGTAAAATGCTTCAATCTGGAGCACTTTGGGCAGAATGACTAGAGGCTATAAATGACTTTGATTTGTTGTTTAAATAGGGGGCCTACAAAACCTATCAGCCCCAGGGCCTGATGGCAGGTTAAGGCGGGCTTGACTGAGAGTCCTTTACCTCACTGAGCTGTAGTTATCAGCCTCAATCCAACAACAATCCGCGGTACCGATGCATGCTCGCCCTCTCTCTCTCTCTCTCTCTCTTGCTCGCTCGGAGGCTCTCTCTCACTGGCTGTGAGCTGCGGGCACCTGATAAGTCAACATCCCCCACTTACATCACCCATCATACAGGGCAAATGCAAAATGTTGCCGGCCCGGGGTGCAAATGGTGTTTACTTTATTCAATTATTAATGTAAATGTATTACATCAAGGGCAGAAAATTAGGCAGAATACAAATTTAAAATGAATTAAATTATTTTTTTATTATTATTTTCTTTCTCCCAGCGCAGCACCCCTCCAGATCTGGCGCCCTAGGCGACCGGCTAGTTCGCCAGTGCCTTGGGCCGGCCCTGGCTATACACATCGCCCTTCACTGGATGTATAATGAGCTGCACTAAACTACATTTTAGCATTTAAAATGCCTAGCCATTCTTTTGCGGTTATTTTGGTAAAGTAACTCAAAAGTAATGTAACTCATTACATTTCAGAGACAGTAATGTAACTTATTACTTTCAAAAGACAGTAATAAGTAATATGTAATATATTATTTATTTATTTAACAGGGACAGTGCACATTAATGAACATTTCTGTAAACGTGCCAGAGTTAGCCAAGAGGCTATTTTTCATCTGTAGTCCCTGGACAGATTTTAAAAGTCATCCTAAAACACATTTCATTTTAAACAAGTAAATACAATACATTTAAAACATGCAACAGACATTACTGGGATACTTAAATAAAACAATTTAAAATACAGAACATTAAAACTAAACAAAAGAACATGTTAAAACACAGGCATTGGGTTGTGAGGAGCAGGAGATTGGGTCAGTGTTGGCAGAGCTGATTCCTCACTAACCAGGTTTTGAGTTGGGATTGAAATAATGTGAATGTGGTCTGGTCTCTGATTGGAGGTGGGATTGAGTTCCATCGCTGAGCAGCTTTAACAGAAAATGAAGACTGACTGAAAGAACTTTTTCTGAGTGGAATAATGCAATTACATTACATTATTACATTTTAGAAGTAACTTGCCCAACACTGATCATGACAACGGGACTGCTGCTCCTAGCTCCTCTCTGCTGCTCCTAGCTCCTCTCTGCGGCTCCTAGCTCCTCTCTGCGGCTCCTAGCTCCTCTCTGCTGCTCCTAGCTCCTCTCTGCTAGCTCCGTTAGCTCCGTTAGCTCCGTGATGCTACAGCGGCTCAGCTCATGAGGAGAACACTACTTGAACTCGGCCGTGTTTGTAGTGTTGGTTCCTGGTGGACTATTCGTCATGCAAATATAGGATTTATCTGCGGTTGAAACAGACCGTCCATGAATGCAGTTTCTTCGGTAAGTCAACCCTGCCTACTTTATGTTATGTTACTGGTGTTTTTATTAAGCTAACGTTAATGAATGTTTATAGTCCAGCAGCAAGTCCTCAAAAAAGGCTTTAGTTTTCCAGATACCCCTACCCGAGGTAGAACAAATGACAACAATGATTTTTCTTATCTTTAGGGTCTCCCATTAATGAAATTGATTGTTGTCAAATTTTATTTTGGGGGAAAAATGTTTTTTTGGTTGTTCTTTAGAACTACCCCAATCCCTGAAAAAGAGCCAAATTAGACCAGGCCGAATGTGGGAAAGGTGACAAGAAAGCCCATAACTTGAGAATGACCACTCTTTTCCTCTTCAGATGTGCTGAGGTATGAACCAGGTGGCTGTCCTACACCACCAAAT